ATGAGGCACACTAAATCAGGCCAAGAACATCATTAAACATCACACACTGACAGGTGAAAAAATTATGGTGTAGGCTGGAATCTCAATGGGATATTGCACCTTCTAAAGATGGTTCTGTTTCAGATGTGCAGTATCGGAATGAAGTTCTATACCCATTGTAATGTAAAATTCTATACTGCAATGGTTTGTTCTGCTTTCCTTTTTATGGATGATAATGCATGTCCACATTGAGGAAACATTGTTAACGATTACCTGGAGAATGAGGGTATTTTTTGCATAGAATGGCCACTATATTCCCCCAACCTTAATTCATCAAAAATATTCAGGATGACCTCAGGCATACTGTCTTTGCATGTTTACTTCCTGTCTACATTTAAATAAATTAAAAATTGCAGCGGGGAAATTGTGATATCACTAATATGATGAGCACAGTAAATGCATTCAAATCTCAAGTAGTATTATTGAGAGGTCATTTAATGAAATTCTATTACCATACTCTCCGATCCCAAACGTATTATGAGAAAGTCAAGTCAGAAACTATGTAAAAATTAGACATAATATAAGAGAAATTTTCCAGATTAGCCAATTTTGTGGCATTACAGCCAATTGTAATTTTTTATAAATCCATTTAATACTAATAAAATTAATATATCTGCTAAGAATTCTGAATATTTTCAGTGGGATAATATTGAAAGCCTAGCATTAAACACATCAATAAACTTGCAAAATGATCTTATTTTTGAAAGCTGGTTATAATGAAAATATGTTTAGGAATTTAATTGATAAAATATAAGATTCATACATTCAAACAAAAAAAGTCAATTGAAATTTTACAAAGATTTTTGAAAGATAAATATCAACATAATTTATACAAAATAGAAATATAAATTAATTTTACTAAGACTCAGGACATCAAATGAATTTTCAATATAATGTAATTTTTAAACAATGAAAATTTTAAGAATGTTGGCCCTGAATATTTGTCTTGTTATTTATCATAACTGTGAGAGGAAAATTTTGTACTGATGTCTGAATTGAATTTTTCATTATTTTTCTTCTTTTTGTTTGTTTAAAGGATCTTTGCTGTAATATTTTTTTATTAGCTGGCATATTTATAGTTGGGAGTTCAAAGTGTGGTATGCTCGTATTTATTCAGTTACTGTAGATTCAGCAGATTTATAAATTTTCTCCATTTTAGTCACTTCATTAGGTGTTGTTATTGAGTTTATAAGCTTGTAAATTTATTCTGCAGTGTCATTTTTCTTTCTGCTAATGTCAAAGTTTGTGATATACTTTGCATCAACTCATTTATTATTATATCATTTGTGTCATCTAATATCAATGAAGGATCATTACAGGAATCATAAACTGTATCTGCTGGACTGTTTTCCTTGCATCTGGCATAAATAATGAATATGCTTACACATATTCCACTTAATTGAAGAATCTATACATGTGCACACATATGTGTGTCTGCATACATTACATTCAATACACTTCAATTCACAGTTACCCTCACTGCTCACTTTTTGTATGGTATACAAATCTAGATTGTTTTCTGATGAAATAATTCAGCCACTTTCATTTTGTATAATTTGTGATGACAGTACTAAGCTGGTTTTATGTCTGTTTCTCAAGTCTCTAATTTACTTGTCAATTTTCCTTTATTTGATGTAATGATTCTATCAAACATTTTATCCCTAATAAATCTCATAATTGCATGCACAGTCTTATCAAGTCTTTTAAAATTTTTTCTGCGTAAATATATGTACTTCAGCGTTCGATGCATTCTTTCAAAAGTGCATATTTGTATTACATCCCGAATGAACTCTGTGACGAAAAGCCCAAGTAGTTGCATCTTTTAAATAATGTATTAAAAAATAATTTGCAAAATCAATTGTATTGAGATCATTTTTCAAGTGATTTAATACAGCTTCTGCTGCAGTATTACAACTCTGTATATCACATTCTTGTAAAAGAGTGCAGAGAACTTGATACACTTGGGCTTGTTTTTCTGTACTACTGATTTTTTTTTTAATTTCTTCACCATGCACAAAAGAGGCGTTTTTCAGGTATGCCCATCTCTGAAACCCATGCATTAAAAAAAATAATCAGCCATATCTGACATGAAAACTTGGTTGTAATATGCCAACCTTTTGCTTGATTATTGAGAAGAATATAAACAAAACTGCAATCGCTCAAGGCCAGAATCAGACATGGAATCGTGAATTTTATCCAAAATTGCATCAAATGGTACTTTAGCTGCTATTTTTGATGCAATAAAGGTTCTATCCTTACTTGAAAGGAAAAGATGACCCATATCATTTTCATGCCCTACGTGTGTTCCCTGGAAATATGCATAGTATTCCTCTCGTTTTGTTTGACCAATTTTATTTTTGCAGGACAATAAGCATTAATTTTTTTACTGCCCAATAGCTTTATGCATTGCTTTCCAGAACTCTGTGAATGAAAATGCCCTGAAAGGTGACATCTAAAATATGTAACTGTACCAGTGGCAATTGGTTTTTCAGATACATGTATTATAAATTTCAACTATTTCCATGTCTGTTTTATTTTCTAAATCATCTTCCCATTCAAGAAAAATTTCATAGGATTCATATTTTAATTCTGATGCTTCAACTTTTACATCATGAACTTGTAGAAAGTGTTCATTTATCAACTCATTTTCAAAATCTCCTTTACACAAAGGACATTTATGCAGTCTCTTAATTGAAATGTGATTACCATTACAACTAGAGTCACATATTTTGAGTTTGGATGTTTCAGATACTTTTAAATTTAGAGACTGCAATATGTGTTCATCCATTGAATGGCATTTTATTACATGCCTCTTCAAATTAAATTTGGAAAAAAAGGATTTCTCACATCCGCATGGAAATTAATTTCATGTAATCATATCCGTAGAAAGATCCGAATTAGTTTGATTTTTTCATCAGATTGAACACTTGGCCCTGAAAAGGACCGTTTAGTTTTAAAGTGATCAGACATGTTTGATCAAATTAGCTTGTAAACACTCGACTACGAAAATTGCAATATGAGGATTTTCATTCACTAGCTATTCTATCATTTGAGATCCCTCCCCACAATCGGAAATGGCATACTGCGAGCGAAAAGAGTGTGGAACTCTGGGATAGATGAGAACCCAATATCTAGATGCTTGTCAATACTGTGTCCCTAGTTAGAGCCTGACACTCCCCAGTTAGAGCCTGTTGACTTTACTGACGTAAAGTACACAGATCAGACACATCAAATTTTATTGCAAATACTATACCATGATTCCTTCCAGAGAAGCAGAAACAATCAATATGAAAGGTTCCAGATGGAAGTAAAGTTTGCAGCTCTTCCAGAAAGCAACACCAAAAAAAGTTTACAACAAACCTCTTGCAAGAAGAAATTTGGCAATCTATGAAGTTTAACCACCAGCAATATAATACAAAACTGCTATTCAGCATTTTACATTAATCTAAAATTTAAATTATAAAAGTAGGTTTACTTTTGAAACTTATGTAAATATAGGCTGTTCTTGAAAATTGTTCTCCTTTGAAACTTATGTAAATATATGATGTTCTTGAAAATGGTTCTCTTTTGTAATGTATTTTGATTAATGATGTAGCACTGAAACATTAATAATGCCTTTTTGTAATCAAATTGTGGTAACATTATTAATAAAACATAATTTCTTGACTTGATTTTAATTGTCATCAGCTGTAAACTTGAAGTATAATTCAAAATAATGTAAACCAAAAAAAAAAATATATATATATATATTACAGCACAATTTGATACAATTTATTACTAATTTATGTTAATTTTATAACATTTTTCTACTTATTATTAACAGACTTCCCATGAAGCCTTTTTAGAAAAGCTAATCCTTAATCCATTAATTAAGCCTGTGACTCCTGCATTTCAAAACCAAAGATAATTTTAAACATGCTTATCTCAAAACTTTTCAAACTCTTCTTTTTCGAGTTGGGACAGTATTGCAGTATATATGCATGTGTGTATATATATATATATATATACACATACATATGAATTAAATTATTATTCTTTATAATGTCACATGTTCAAATAGAGGCTACTTTTTTCTTTGAAAATTGCACTACATGCAATTAATTTTCCACTTCTAAAAAGTATTGCAAGCTAATAAAAATTAAAGACTATAAAAATTAAGCAATCCTGACTTACTCAGTATAAAGTATCAATGAAAGCATTTTAATTATTTTCCCAATATATGACTTGTTTGAAACTCTAGAAGAATTCATTGGGGGGGGGAAGTCATTTGTTCAACACACTGCATAAACTGAAACTTTACCCTATGATTCTCCACATTAAAAAAAAGAAAACTAATAGGTATTATTTATTAAATACATATTATTTTTGGAGACATGTTAATAAATTTTCCATCAAAAGTAATTTTTTATATATACTCGAGAAGACAGTAACGTGAAATAAAAATTTCTCAGATTTTCTGAATCAAGTTCAAAATGTTTAAGAACTAAGAAAAATTAGTTCTTGGTATATAACTGCATTTTAGTAGATCAATTTTATTGATAACTATAGCAATATGGTTAACATGACATATATATTAATGGTTAATACGATATGATTTGAGTAATATAATTGGTTAGTTTGTCAATATTAGCAAGGTTTAAATTTTGTTTTCACTCATTAAAACCTCATAACTGCAAAATATCTTACCAGCACTAAATTATCATTAAAGTACCTTAGCCTATTAACAGAAAATATATGTACATTACAAGAAATTAGTACAGAAATCAGAACAAACATCAAATCTTTTAGGCACATTTTATTTATGTTTCCAAAAATAAATAATTATATAACCAATTTTTAAATAATTTTAAATAAGGTGAAAATGATAATACAAATGCTGGTTTTTATTAATAAAAAAAAACAAAAAAAAAAAAAAAAAAAAAAGAAAAAGAAAAGAAAAATTCAGATTTTTTTCCAATTACCAACAGTTCCATAAAATCCTCTTGGTCCACAAGATCCCACACCATATTTTCTCAAGCAATTTAATGCTGCCGTCTAAAAACAAGCAAATACAAAAACTTCGCACATTTAAAACAATTCAGTGCAAAATTATCAATTAAATTTATCAAGAATCATATGAAATAACAGCCATTATTACTTCAATTAAATTTCAAATTCTTTCTATACAAATCTAGCCTTTCAATTGTGAGAGTTCTCGAAATACCTGATATATATCCAGACTCTAACATCTGAAAACACAATGGGTTAAATTAACAAAAAAATATATATATTAACATCATCCTAAATGTATTTTATATGCATGTGCTTCAGTACCATAAATAATTTTTTTTTGCCATTTCAAAAAAAAACCTTTTTAATGGAATTTTGCAAAACAGTCTTCTTTATATAAAGTAATCCTTAAGATTTATTCAGATAGCATTTTTACTATATTTTTATGAAGTTAAAATTTGATATAACTGCTGCGAAGATCATACTTTTTAATTTTCAGTCATATCATTTTTTTTCCATTACAGGTATATAAAAATTATCAACAATAACTACCACAAAATCCAAACAAATTTTAAAATATAATACTATACGATTAAGTTTTGTAAGTAAAAGAAATAGAAAATTGTATCTTCTCTCTGTTAGAAAAAATTAAACAGAAATACAAATTTAAATTGCACGCTTTGAAAGTATTAATACATTTTTCACTTAATGATATCAAAGAACAGTACACATATACAAATAATAAATCTTTAAAAACTGTATTCCAAAACTTCACATTAATGTAGAATATGCCATTAAAAATTTCAAAAACCTTTTCTTAAAAAAACAAAAAACTGTAGTGATTAAAAAATTGTTTTTCTGAACAAGTTATCTAATACATGGAGATGTAGAATATGCCATTAAGAATTTCAAAAACCTTTTTTAAAAAAACATAAAACACTGTAGTGATTAAAACAGAAAGTTTCTGTTCAAGTTATATCATACAATCAAAAATCTTTAATCCGAACTCGTTGGAACTCATTATCAGTTTTTCTAGATTATAGATCATCAGTTTAAATCTGCTAAGATGGCATGCAGAAATTATAAAATTAAAAATATGAAACCCTAATTTATGAAATTAAGAGCAATTATGATCTAAAGGGTATCAAAATTTACAAAGAAAGCTTAATATTTATTTGTTTACTTTATTAAACATTTGTTTCAACGTGCGCATGCATAAAGCATACATTACGCATAGTCGAAATTAGAAAATTGCAACCAGAAAACTATTTGATGTGTATTCGTGATATTTATAATGACAAGGAATTTGATTTAAATCATATCAAAAACGGAGTACATCGAGATGAAATACTACATTTAGTAAGGAATTATAAGCCGAATAAAATAAAAACATCTGCCCTGAAGATAAGGATAGTGCTGACAGATCAACTTCCAGTTCATTGCCCGCTGTAACATTTCCACACACCCCCTTCCCCGCAGAGCAGCGTGAAATTGATAAACAGATTTTGGAATGGTAAGAGAAACAAAGGATATGCCTTTATCCTTTCAGCAATTCCACTTTTTGTTTGATGAACATCGAAACATGCTTTCGCTTTGTAGAACCTTCGGCAGCTCCAGAATCGGAAATTCTTTTTGACATAATCGAAAGTTCAAGCTTACTTTTATAAAATTGCTCTAACAGTCTACAAAAAATAATAAGCCAGATTCAATTCGAAGATTAAGGAACAATGCAATCTGCAACATTAACTGAAACAGATAATTAGATAATTTTAGCTTAGCTTATACCATCTGTTATACATTAAACGTGCATGTGTAAATGCATATGCGCGTGCGTAAAGGTATTATGCGCATGCGCAGAAAGTTTGTAGGTTTGAGGTCTCCTGATTATACATCATTCTGGATTATGATGTCCAGATTAAAGACTTTTGACTGTACATGGAGTTAGAAATACCATTTATTGATTACAACTACAGTGTAAAACATTCACTACTTATGTATTATTGCAAACACCTTAACAGAAGTCACCAAATTTTCAGAATGTGCCAAACTCTGACAACGATACGAATAATCATTCTTTAGAGAACCAAACACATAACAATTCTTCTGTCGAGCAAATGCATCATTTTCATGTACGTTCTCTTTGTTGTAGTTCATGTTTCAATGGCTTTTATAGAGAAATCGTGATACTTTGTGCCTTAAAACTAAGTTTTAAAATATGTATTTCTAGAATTTAGCAGCAAAAGAAAAAACTATGGTAAAATCTCTGCACAAATACAGTACTTTGTTGCAAAAAGGGCAAAATAGACAGCTCGCAGTGCCGAGGTTGTGCTCATTTTTGTGCAACTCTGAAAATTTTTATATAAAAACAGATCACTTTATACGTAAGAAGATGAATGGGGTTGGAATTACAGAAGATAACTTGAAAAATGTAAGCATTTTTTTCATATATGTAATAATTAAAATTTTTATTTTAAATTTCTGAAGTGTCTTTTCATTTGGTAAGTTGGTAATGTTCACCGACTTTCAATAAATATTGATAGCTTGGTTGTGTTAAAAATATGTACCAAAAATTCTTAAAAATAAGGAGAAAGACATTATAAATTAAATACATTTTGATTTATATGAATCAAATGTAATTCAAAATAATGATTTAAATTATGAAGAAATGCATTTCTGGTTTCTAAATCACTGAATTCATGAATTAATAGCAGACTAATTAAACATGAAAGATAAATTAATATTTTAGGTTTTGCTGAATTGCAGCTTTAAAAATTCACAGTACATGAGGACAAATGGAAGATGAATTTAAAGTCTTATATTGCAGGCAGCAATGACACATTGCAAGGGGTTCAATTCCCGCTTCTTTAGAACCCATAAATTTCTGCGATTATAAAGAGACTGCTGAAATAAATTTTCATATGGTTTTCTTTACAGATGGCAGCAAGATGAACAACAAGGTTGGCCTTGCATTTGTTCTTTTTGAAGGCCATTCCGAGATTTGTTTTCTTAGACACCGTATACGGAATGAATGTACAGTTTTTCAAGCAGAACTTCTGTGCATTTATCTTGCCGTCAAATGGATCCAGGATCATGGGACAACATCCTCAAAGTACCTTATTTGTTCTGATTCTCTTTCTTCTCTTCAACTTTTGAACAGTATTACCAGCTGCGATAAATTAGTTATCGAAACCCTAGTAACTGTTAGTTCACTTAGAATTAGAGGTATTGATATCTGCTTTGCTTATGTGCGTGCTCATCATGGTTTCTACGGAAATGAAAGAGCTGATTTCTTAGCTAAAGATGCCTTAAATTTACCCATTGATATCAACATTAGCATTCCAAAGAGTTATTGGAAATCCTTTCATTATAAAAAGCTTTTAGCTATGTGGAATGAGGAATACATTTCATCTTGTAATGCGGAAGTCACCAAAAAGTTCCTTCCTTCTATTTACCATAGACTGAATTCCGAGTCTTTCCTCTCGTTAAATTTTAAAGTGTCTCAGTTTTTATCTGGTCACGGTAAATTTGCAAGTTATCTGTTTCGTTTTAATCTACGATCAAACAATTTATGTGAATGTTCAAAAAGAGTTCCTCAGGATGTGGAACATTTTATTTTCTCATGCCCTTCATTTGATGGCCCTAGATTATGCTTACAGAACGATTTGAAAATGTTCGGAGTGACTTGGCCAGTGAACTTATCTGTTTTCGTGAAGTCCAGACTGCTGTTCTCTGCTTTTGTTCGCTTTATTTATGCATGTAATTTTTAATGTTTATTTATACATGTAACCTTTAATGTTCTAGTTAACTTACTTCTGTAAGCCCCGTGCTGTACATATGTGGTGCACGGGGAGTCTGTATGTTCTCAAAGGAAAAAAAAAAAAAAAGGGGGGGGTTCAATTAAATTCTTTCCATTCATTCCATTTATAAGTTTTCAAGGCATGATTGTGTTTATGGATTTTATTTTGCTAGACAAAATATTATGTCATAAGTGAAAACACTGGAACCTCTTTTAAAGTGTAATAACTGCACAGAATTATACAAGAAAAACTTGATTATTTGGAAATCTCGGGATATACTGAATGTCAGATGCATAGAAATTTCTGATCATTGAGTATATAAAAAAAATGTAATGCACATTAAAAAAGCCAAATGACTGGAAGAAATTTTCAGTCTAAATTATAAAATCAGTAACCTTATTAGTTAACAATTTAAATATCAAAAACCTACATATAAAATTACATAAGATTTCAGAAGTAAAATGTGCTTCAGACAGAAAAGCCAACATATTTCATAAGCTTTAAAAAACAAAAACAAAACATCTTATCCGGTCATGACACCCCACCGAACAAGAAAGTCGGCAAAATTGCCCCAATCATACTGGAAGATATTTAAGGGAACAGATCATTGCCTTCCTTAATTAGATAACAAACAGATACAAATTATGGATACCGCACATAAGAAACTTAAATTGTTTATCACAATTTTTCCTGTTGCATCACCATTGTTTACGCGTTTTCAAAGAAATCCTCTACCTTTGAAAATACTTCTACAACATGTCCCGTAGAAGGCAGGCCCCAAATATTAATATTTTTTCCCTTTCAAAATGTAAAGAAAAAACACAACTTTTTACCTTTTAGTACCACTCTTATATGCGGCCCCAGGTCGCCAAATGTAGTAATATGTGTTCTGTGCTGGTTTTTGTGCAATGGTTTGGGGGACAATGTTGTTTGTATGGCAACCCTTTTGATGTTGAAACTTACTCTTTTGCTGTAGTGGTTTTATTTGCTCATTGGTTCGTGACATGTGTGTTTTGAAATGACCTACGCTACAATGAAAGATGTGGTGGTAAGATTTCAGTCGCATATTTTAGATTACGTGCTAAGTAAATTTAGTATTAAAAGGTACAATGTTGGAGTTGTTATTGAGTCTTTTGTTCACGGGTGTGTTTATGCAGGTCGAAGTTTATTTTTGGAATTTCTCTGGGAGTCAGGACTTTTGAAACAGACTTTGGCGTGTCTGAGATGAGGAGCTGATACGAGAACTCGGACAAAGAATGGCATTTCTGATAGACTTGTGTGGGTGTGCAGGCAAATGGTTGCTAGTAAAGTATGTGGCTGTCAGTGTATTTGGATTGTGGTTTTTGTGTAGTAAGTTGACTTTGGAGGAAGTTTTTATCGTTACTTTCGAAATTTTGAATTGCAGAAAGACATGTGATATAGCAAAATTGTGGTACTTTTGATCACAGACATTGTGTGACTGGCGAAATTTTATTCACGAATGTATGATAGACTTTGCTTGCTTTGCGTCTCACAAGATAGGGAGGAAAGATAAAGTGGTGGAAGTTGACGAGTCGAAATTTGGCAAAAGGAAATATCATCATGGCCATCCTGTTGAAGGGCAGTTGGTATCTGGAAGTGTGGAAAGAGGGTTTATGAAATAATTTTTACTGGCTGTGCATGATAGAAGTAAGGAAACTCTAATGCAGTGCATTAAAGAGTAAATTGAGCCTGGTACAACTATTTTTTTGGATGGCTGGAAATCCTACAAGGATTTAGGAAAAGAAGGTTTTGAACATTTATTTGTGAACCATAGTATCAATTTTGTAAATAGCGAGTCTAGCTGTCATATAAATACGATAGAGTACGTGGCAGCATGTTAAAGCTACGTTGCCTAGTTATAATCAGAAATGTGATTTTGAGTTTTATTTGGCAGTCTATATGTTTTTCCACTACTGTTCTGAAACGGGAGAAGATGCTTTCAACAAATTTGTAGAAATTATAAGAATTGCTGAATGGAAGAAATTAAAAACTTCTTTGTATATTATTTGAAGAAAGTGTTTGTGTTTTTTGTTTTGGTTATGTTTGAAATTGATATTTCTGCTGTTCGAAGAAGCATTCATTATGGTAAGTGCATTTTATTTTATTGTTTTTATTTTGCAGAATGTTATGTTCATTTTTTAGTATGAATTTCTGTTGTTATTGTTGTTTTTTTAAATTGTTTCAAATTTATTTTAGTCATTTTAGTTTATTTTGTTGATTAGTGTGCAATGCCTAGATTGTGCAATGTGTAGATTTTTTTAAAGTTTAAACATAACACTGTGTACACGGAATTCTTTGAAATTTATTGTTATGTTAATTTATTTAAGCTAGGTGTGTATAGTTCGTAGATTCCTTCACTGCATAGATTGTGCAATTCTGTGATTTTTTTGTTAAGTTAAAACATATCATTGTGTACATGAATTCTTGTCAAATATTTTTAGTTAGAAACTTTACGTTTTTTCTATATAAATTTTTTTGTTTTTGTTTCGGATTTTTAGCTTAAATTGTGCGTTTTTGGAGACATTTTAGGCTTAAAATTCAAAATGTAGACAAAAAATTTAGATAGTAATATGGCACCGTTTAGTTGCTCGCCAAAAATATTTGGTGAGAAATTTGTCACCAAGCAAGGGCGTATATAAGAGTAGTTCCATCCTTCTTTTACAAAACTTTAACCAGCTTGTCGGAAATTAATCAGATTTACGTAAAACCAAGATGAAATTCTTACCGACTGTATTGTGATGCCCGACTTGTTCATTATTGGTGCTAAATCACATGGTTTGGCAACAATGTGTGTCTGCTAACAGGATAACAAGCTCTATAATGACATTACAAATATCTCATTTACTTAATTTTGGGGGGAGGAATTTTTTTAATTCTAAAATGTTCCAGTTACTTGAATACTAGACAGTCAGGCTTTTACTATACATTTTAATACCAAGATGGTTATAACATTAAAAAAAAAAAAAAAAAAAATTAAGAAAACACTGTACCTCTAATTTTGGATGTTCTACTAAGCCTAGATAATTATGAGTGGCTGCATTCAAACATTTCTTTTCTCCATCTATAACTATGAATTTTCCAACTTTCCTAAAATGAAATTTTGATATTACTCTTACATGAAAACCAATTTTTAAACTATAAATGCATAAGATTTTACAATAAAAATATAAATTTACCCAGATACAGTTCTTGGTTTCAAAGAGTAATGATTTTCATCAGAATCTGGAACTAAAGGTTCGGGTGTCCACTCTGAAATTAACTGCTCTTTCTCCTGAAACAGAAAAGAAACATTAAATTTTTACAGTATGGCAAATAAACATGTATAACTAGAACCAATACCCGATTCAAATAATATTTTGTGACAAAAAATAACCTCTGAATATTTCAACACTTGCATAAAAAATCACTTGTCAGAAATTCGGATTAGTGCCAAGTAGTGGTGATAATCTGTAAATAAATATCTGCTCTTTGTTACAAATGTACTCCAACTTCTTCTTTTAACCACATGTTCAGTCTTATTTTATTTGCTTTAATTTGTTTCATATTTATTATGTTCTTAATGCAACTCTCTGGGATTAAAAAAATAACAAACAGTAGCCACTACCTTTTCCTGGAATCATAAAATATTGCTAACCACATAATATTGTTATTTTGAGAATGTTCTAATTCCCATATAGTGAAACCACACATCATTAAAAAACATATATGTTCTAGTACGCACAAAAATATTTTTTCTTTTCATAAATCTGCTACACCAGCAAGACCCTCCTTTAAAGTCATTTATGTTCATTTGATTTGCCATAAATTTTGCTTGTAAGCAAATTTTTACTGTTGAAATTGCCATTCCTTTTCCTCATTCTCCTTCACACAGTTTGGAAGGTCATTTTCATTAAAAAACATATATTTTCTAGTACGCACAAAAATATTTTTTCTTTTCATAAATTTGCTACACCAGCAAGACCATCCTTTAAAGTCATTTATGTTTATTTGATTTGCCATAAATTTTGCTTGTAAGCGAATTTTTACTGTCGAAATTGCCATTACTTTTCCTCATTGCTCCTTCACACAGTTTGGGGAAGGTCGTTTTCTAGATTCGCCCACCTTACAGTACCCCGTTTTTTTGCTCATTTCTGTTGTGGCATATTTTTTAGTTCTTTTTCAGTTCTCCAATACTGAATGCATCTCTAGTTCATTTCAAACTTTCAAGCCTGCTCTATTTCCAATTTATTCAGCACAGGAAATTACATCAAGCTTAAAACCAGCAGTATAGCTTTTGTGACATTTAGGTGTCATTTTAAAAAATTTCCTGCTTTCTTTTTAAAATCTATCCAGCAAGTGCTTGTACCAAAACTGATGGGAACTTTACATGGCAGAATGCCATGAAGAATAAATTCATGCTGAACAGGGAATGTATGTATGTTTCTTGCATTGTGATAAAACAAGGGTACCTAGAGCTATCCAAATTTGAATAACATATGTCTTCCATCCGAATATGGGCATCTGGAAAATCAAATATGGAATTTTTTTTATTATCTATTTCATATTTTGTAAAACTTTAATGAATTTTTTCATTAAGAAATTCAACGATTTCAAGCAAGCAATGGCAACACTGTGCGAAAAAAACATTTTTATCTCCAGCACGCAAGACTGTATCGGAAATTCTAAAGATATGCTCACTTTAAAATTATTTTGCAAAATTGCTCTCGAACTCAATTTTATGGTTTAAGTGCAAACAACAATATTTGATAAATAAAGGTAGCACACAAAACATTAAAAAAAAAGTTTTTTTGGGTGTAAAAGTTTTTTTTTCGGGGCAGGGGGGGATGATTAAAAATTGAGTATTTAAAAATAGCATAGTTCTATCCACAAAAGTTAACTGATACATAATGCTTAAATCTCCATCTTGGAGATTTTTATTACTTTTGTACGTTTAACTTTATTATTACACATTGCTGTTTTCTTCATTCTTATGCCACACAAAATTCAATAGTAAAACTAATTAATTCAATAGTTAAAAGCAACCTAGTTTTAGAATTCCTTTCTGTATATTACTTCTTTAAAAATAATTAAAAAATAAAATAATGATACTATTTGACATTACTTCTTTAAAAATAATTGAAAAATAAAATGATGATACTTTTTGGTAGCAACAACTTTTTAGAGTAAGGATCAAGACTAATAGCATTTCTGGTGCTAAAAAGGCTACTTACAGCTTTTATGCAATAAGATGAATACATTATCCTTATTGGTCTTCAGCTTAACTATATTAGCCATAACACTGCACTTATACATATATTCTGATTAATAATTAAAAAAAAGAACCTATCTCATTATAACATTCCTTGCATTCATACCAAAATGCCAAATAAAAATTCCAAAAATGTTTTACAAGGGAGCTAGTATCACAAATCTTATTTTATTAAGAATAAAAACCATCATACAGAACAGCGTTTTTTCCTTCACATTTCTCAAACTTCCTACAAATTACTTAAATTTGCAAACAACTAAATAAAATAAAGAATTCTTGAACTTAAAAATTTACATGATGTTAGATGTTAAGCTTACCTGTTCAGTTAATTCTGTCTCCTTAGGCTTATAGCTCTTATGAAACAGCAACCAGATTACCATTAACAATAAAACAGCCTCTAATGCTAAATGATAGAAAGGAGCCTATAACAAAGATAACCATAGACTATAATACTTACTTTTAGCTATCTCAAGTAATCTTTATAATAAAGAACATTTTTGTATAGCACAGCAGAACTGACATTTAGCTAATATTATCATGTTATTCACAAAATATTTTTAAAACTTTTATGTTAAGATACAATAACATGCTAAACAAATATTAATTTAGAAGTCAAACAACAAACATTTGGTTCATTTCCACCGAGGATGATGGTTTGATAAAACCATCAAAACTAATCCTGTGAAAATTTGAAAATATAATGCTGATTTTTATTGTTTGACTTCTAAATTAAACTATGTCTTAATCGTTATCAAAGTGTTAATTCGGACACCCATAATCCGGAATGATCTATAATCCGGACCTCAAAGCTACAAACTTTCTGCGCATGCGCGTAAGACCTTTACGGCTGCGAATATGCGTGTGCGCGTGCGCAAAATACGTTTACGAATGCGCGTTTAATGTATAACGGACGGTATAAGCTAAGCTAAAATTATCTAATTCAGTTAATGTTGCAGATTGCGTTGTTCCTTAATCTTCGAATTGGATCGGCTTATTATTTTTTGCAGACTGTTAGAGCAATTTTATAAAAGTAAGCTTGAACTTTCGATTATGTCAAATAGAATTTCTGATATATATTTACTAATATGTAAAGGATCTACAAAGCGAAAGTATGTTTCGAAGTCCATTAAACAAAAAGTGGAATTGCTGCAAAAAATGGATAAAGGCATATCCTTTGTTTATCTAAACTTTAACGTTTGTTTATCTTTAACGCCGCGGCGCGCAATGAATTGGAAGTTGATCTGTCAGCACTATCCTTATCTTCAGGGCAGATGTTTTTATTTTATTTGGCTTATAATTCCTTACTAAATGTAGTATTTCATCTCGATGTACTCCGTCTTTGATATGATTTAAATCAAATTCCTCGTCATTATAATTCGCTTCCGATAGCGAAGAAAGTGACAGAGGTTATTGAAAACGAAAAAATTTCGATTGACAAATTAGTCGGTATTCTCGACACAGCAATTATAGGACTTGAACAGCGGAACTTTGTAACTGAACAAGAAATTATGTCTGTTTATAGAATTAAAGAGAAAGTATTATCACATAAAAAAAACGAAGCAACTTAAACAACTTACATTGAAAGAAATGTTTAATAAAGTAAACAAATAAATATTAAGCTTTTTTTTTTTTGTAAATTTTGATACCCTTTAGATCATAATTGTTCTTTATTTCATAAATTACAGTTTCATATTTTTAATTTTAATTTCTTTTCTGCATGCCATCTTACCAGATTTAAACTGATGATCTATAATCCGGAAAAATCGATAATCCGGAATCGCCGAAGTCCCGACGAGTCCGGATTAACGACTTTTGACCGTATAATTAAGATGCACATAACAGAAATTCCACTAAAATGGATACCAAATACAGATCAGAAAATATACTATAGTTAGAGAGTTTAAAATACTATATTATTATGTTTGTCACAGAAACCTCAATAATAAATTTAGAACCATAGATAATACTTACATACTGATTATAATGATTAAAAAACATCTAAATATTTTACTACCATTTGTAAAATAATCATTTATACAGAATTAAATAGATTAGTCAGGTGCACATTGCTATGAAAATACAGTAAAGGCTTGACTATCTAGAAAGCTAGGGAAATGGCAAATTCCAATAGGCAAAAATTCCAAATAATTGAGCGTATAAGAAATGCAATTATGGTAGAAAAGATATATGAATGGAGAGAAAAAATATGGTGTAATATTATAAAAGAAGTCATTTTATTTGTTTTCAACTTAATAATCAAATGCATACATTTAAATTATGTGAGATTTTGAAAGAAAAAAGACATTTTAGAAATAAACAAAGTAAAATATCATATTTGATTACAAAATTCTATTGACAATGAAAATTGGCGGAGAAATTACCAAACTTGCACCAGTCATTCCAGCTGAAGTTTTAAGAAACGAACTGCTCTTTATTTAGTTAGTTAATCAACTTATATACCGCCCAATGGCGAAGTGGCTAGCAAGTCATGTAGCTGCACCACAGGTCTGGGGTTCGATTCCCGGGCTGGATGAAACTGACTCAGCCTTTCATCCTTTGAATGGGTTGATAAAATGAGTACCAAGTTCGCTTCGGAACTAAGCACCGGGAAGTCTTGCAACAAAATGATCACTTGCCCAGGGCATATGCTGATGCACTCCAGGACCAAGATCCAAGAAAGCAGATTTCGAGGCACTGCAGGCAGTTGGCTACTAGGGGTGTTGCACCACTGAATTTAGTTTTAATCAACTTATATAAGTTATGGATATAACATATAAAACCTTAAATACCTTGTCATAATTTTTTACGTTGTGTTTTTCCAATTTCACATAAGTCGCAATTTTCTTGATGGCAGGATCATGTAATTTTGAAAATACTCTACTGCATCCTATTACACTGAAGAGATATGAACTCTTTTCTCTTAGAAAGTCCACCAGAAAGGCATCCCTCCTCTTAGGCAGATATCGCTTGAGTGCTTGCCATAATTAAATAAATCGAAATTGAGGTTGAAAGCAAAGCCCAAATTTTGATCATTTTTCCAAAATGTGATTAAAAAGCAGATAAGCAGCACATAACTTATTGTTTAACACAAAAATTAAGCCGACTTACAGAGAATTTATCAGGTTTACATAAAGCCAAGGCAAAGATGTGCTGTAACACCATGTTTATACATTATTGGAGCTAAATCCCATTATTTGCTCAATTTGAATCAGTATCCTATTTCAACTTAATGAGTTACAAATCTTTTATTTCCCTAATTTTTCTTTTAAAAAAGTTGATATTCAAAATACTCCGGTTAACTGAAAGTCGGATAGTCAGGCTTTTACTGTAGATTAGTTTCATTCATAATATAAAGTATATAATTTTAAAAACATGAAGTGCAAGAATAATATATTAATTCTTTTTTTTCCTTGATCTGCAGAGGCTAAATATTTGATATCTAAACTTTTGTGAAAGGAGTTTGTTGATTGTATGTCTTGATCTTCACCTGAGGATGTAATCGAAACGGGAATCATACTTACTTACTATAAGATATGCAGTTTGTATTGTTTTTATTTTACAGTTTTAATAAAGAATGAAACAGATTAACATACCTAAACTATAATCTCAACATTTTATTTATCTTTTTGGGGAGAAATCCAATATTGGAATATTTTTTTAATTTTTTAAGGTCGGAAAAGCCCATATATATTAATCCCGATGTTCATGTGTATTTCATTAAAATTTTTCAAAAAATTAATCCCGTCAAAAGTCTTTAATCCGGACTCATCGGGTCTTCAGCGATTCTGGATTATAGATCATCAGTTTCAATCTGGTAAGATAGCATGCAGAAATTATAAAATTAAAAATATGAAACCATAATTTATGAAATAAAGAGTAATTATGATCTAAAGGGTATCAAAATTTACCAAAAAAAAAGCTTAATATTTATTTGTTTACTTTATAAACATTTCTTTCAACACGCGCATGCGTAAAGCATACATTATGCATAGTCAAAATTAGAAAATTGCAACCGGAAAACTATTTAACGTGTATTCATAATATTTATAATGACGAGGAAATTGATTAAAATTATATTGGAGTACATTGAGATGAAACACTACATTTAGTGAGGAATTATAAACTGAATAAAATAAAAACATCTGCCCTGAAGACGAGGATAGTGCCGACAGATAACTTCCAGTTCACTGCACACTGCGACGTCCCCCCCCCCGCAGAGCTGCGTGAAATTTATAAACAGATTTCGGAAAGGTTAGAAAAACAAATCACCTCTCTGTCACTTTCTTCATACCTTTATCCATTTTTTGCAGCAATTCCACTTTTTGTTTGATGGACATCGTAACATGCTTTCGCTCTGTAGATCCTTTGGCAGCTCCAGAATCGGAAACTCTTTTTGGCATAATCGAAAGTTCAAGCTTACTTTTTATAAAATTGCTCTAACAATCTACAAAAAATAATAAGCCGGATCCAATTCAAAGATTAAGGAAAAACGCAATCTGCAGTTGATCTTTACATTATGGTAACTTGGCGTTTTTTTGGCGAAAATTTGGCGACCAACTCTCCTACAGCAACCCTCTATTTTTTTTTTCCCGCCGCCATTTTGTCTTCACGAAGTAAAGACATGTTTCTTTTCTTTTTATCTACTGAACACTTCCTCCAACAATCTACTAGCCGAATTACACTTATGCTAGAAATTTTATCTAACAAAACTGCTTAATCATGACAAATATTCACTGCAAAATTGGGAAAAAGTGCACAATACCATACTCCTTACGCGTTTTTCAAATAACACATACACATAAACCATGTACACGCCCGACTTATTTTTACTTAAAAAAACATCCCAGAATTGCACAAAAAATGGCATTGCGCACACTCTTCACTATATCCATGTACACTGCTTTTTTCTCATAAAATTAGAAAAATTTCACGAAAATACATGACAATTTTCTCAATCTTTAAACCCGGTAAAAAGAACATATATGAAATTACCTGATCGCGAAAAAGTATTTACCCTTTCCAAATATGAACATTTCCACATATAAAATAAATAAAATATCCAAAAACTTTTACCTCTAAATCATCTATTACATTATACACGTCACCAACGAATTCATACCGCAAGCATTACAAATACTTAGTATCAAATATTTAAATTATTTCCATGCACGTTTACTTCAACTTAAACGTATACCAAATTCCTACAAACATAAAATTCACAAAATAACTATCATTTAATTAAAATATCACTAAACCATGTACACGTCGACTTATTTTTACTTAAAAAAACATCCCAGAATTGCACAAAAATGGCATTGCCCACACTCTTCACTATATCCATGTACACTGCTTTTTTCTCATAAATTAGAAAAATTTCACGAAAATACATGACAATTTTCTCAATCTTTAAACCCAATAAAAAGAACATATATGAAATTACCTGATCGCGAAAAAGTATTTACCCTTTCCAAATATGAACATTTCCACATATAAAATAAATAAAATATCCAAAAACTTTTACCTCTAAATCATCTATTATATTATAAACGTCACCAACGAATTCATACCGCAACCATTACAAACACTTAGTGTCAGATATTTAAATTATTTCCATGCACGTTTACTTCAACTGAAACGTATACGAAATTCCTACAAACATAAAATTCACAAAATAACTATCATTTAATTAAAATATAATTAAATTCAAAAACACTACTTAAAATATAAATGAGCACATACGTTAAATTAATAAAAATTACCTTACAATCCTAATTACTTTAAACTAAATCATTGCTAATAACAATTTTCCCAATAATACCAAATTCCTTTACTTCCACCTTACATTTAGAACAATGCATAAAAATAATATCCTCAAATAATTAAAAATACTAACTTACCTCATCTTCTTCAGAATCTTGATTACGTGTCCGATAAACTTTTCTTTAGTTACGGCCATGGGATCCAAAAATTCACGAACACTGTTTCACACAACACAGAATAAACCAAATACAAAATTTCCAGATTTTTTCCCGATTTCCCCCCTTTTCCGATTAAAGAACCGTAATTCGTCCATTAATATCACATGACATATCCCATGATCTCTCATTTCCCTCACACAAAATAATGCGTAATCGGAACTGAGTACTGCTCACATTATTACCAAAGTCCCAGGTAGTAACCTTTATCGCCTCCAAAATGTCGCCAAACTACCAGTTACCATATTGTAAAGATCAACCCAATCTGCAACATTAAGTGAGATAGATAATTTTAGCTTAGCTTATACCATCCGCTATACATTAAACGCACATGCGTAAAAGTATTATGCGCATGAGGTCTGGACTATAGATCATTCCGAATTATGGACGTCCGGATTAAAGGCTTTTGACTGTATTGCACGTTTTGAAAACTGACCTCCATAACTGAATACAGTAACTTATTTCAGATATCCATTCACCCTATGAATGCAAAATAAATCTATTAATTATAATTGCTTTTTCAAAGAATCAAATAAATTGTAGCATTTCAACAGCTACAAAAGCAAATGTTTCAAAATATTTTTTGAGAAATTTTAACTATACAATACTTTGCTTTAGAATTAAAATCAAACTGATTTTTTTTTAGTCTATCGTAATTAATTTTAATAGTTTTGCATTTTTTTTCCACTGAATAACACAGCTTCATTACTTATTTTTGCACTTTTTCTTTGAAAACAGACACTGATTAGCCCCAGCTGCAGCTGAATGGTTGATACGATTGAATACTGGAAGTTTGACCAAATATGAGCAAGTTTGCTTCAGAAAGTCCTCTACAGAAGCATCCCTCCATTTATGGAGATAGCCCTTATGTTCTTTACACATTGAAATAATGTAACAATAATCAACTGAAAAACAATCAAACAATCCTTTTAACATTTTCAATAGCATCATTTTACTGAGATTTACCAAAATCTTCTATATGGTTCAATTGGTATGCATTGTTTTCATTTCATTTAGTAAGTGATGCGTAGATGGTCGTAGTTTACATATGAGAAAAAATTAAAATTATAAAAAATATACTTATTTTCATAACACCCTGCCCTTATTTAGCCATAAATATTGCATTTATGAGCTTCAGAATTTTTGCATCTTTTGAAGTAGGTGCCTGAAATGTATACAATATGTATACCTTCATACGAAAAACATCTATCCAGAAATACATTCACTTAGGCGTGCATAAATAAAGAGTGTGGAGCATGAATGACAGCATTCAAAATCCATGATTAAGTGAAAAGTTGATAGAAAACACACATTTGTATTTCTTTACAAGGGATGTAACTAGAATTTCTAATTCAAATTTTTAGAAAATTCTGAAAAGTCGATCTTTTGGGAATTCTACAGTTTTAGAAACTTGTTACTTTTAAGTATCTTAAATTAAAAATTTGAAGCAATCTACTTTTATCTCTACTGTCTTAAAGAACACATTTTGAATTATTTACCTAAAATATTATAAATTCTTACAAAACTTTAAATTTACCAAATATTTATATACTGTGAGAAAAAGCAACAATAAGATTTTGGTCCCTTTTCAGTTATATCCTTAAATGAAGATCAAGACCTACAATTAACAAACTCCTTTGGCAAAAGCTTGAATATCAAATATTTAGACATTTTTTATCAAATATTTAGCCTCTGCAGATTAAGAAAAAAAAAATTTATGTTACTACTGATCCATAAATCCTTGACTGACAAAACTGAGAAATGCAAATGTAAATTAGCAGGCTTATTTGTAAAATTTCCTCAAGATCAAATATTGTTTCCTATCATTGAAACCATTTGTATGTTTACCTGACAATAATAATCCAAAATAAGTTTTTAACCATTTTCATCTCCAAAAATTTCCTTTCACTGAGATAAATTCAAATAGAAATCCAGAAACATAAAATTTAATCTTTATAATTTAAAAGGGATTCATAAAATCATCTAAGCTTCTATAATTAAGTTTGCTTTTTAGTAAGCATTATATTGAAAACTAACCACTTCTAACTGTTTAAATGGAAGTTTCTTATATACATTGTTAAAATAAATTTTGAAATTTAAAAATTTCATTTGCATCAAAATTTTATAAGAATTTTTGGAATTAAATTTTAATTTGGAAAATATATTCACTACATCCATTGCAAATGCACACGGAAATATAGTAGATCTTTAGTCTGATAATTTCTGATAGCACTGAAAATGTATAAAAGAATTTCACTTACTTGAGTCACCAAAATAATTTAACCCTAGTTTAAAGTTTCATATATAAGTATTGTGAATTCCTTATAGTTCTGAGTTGAATTATTAATTAAGATGCATTATCATGTCAGCATTAACAAAGAAGGGAAAAAAAAAAAAAAAAAACAGATTCCTGGACTAGGGTTTGCCAGCCACTACTTAAAACATTTACTTTCATAACTTTGGAAATAGAAAACACCATATTGCTTTAAAAGTCTAAACAGGATTCAAAAGCTGTCATGCATTTGGAGTTGCTCACATTTGTTTATAAACACTCGTAATTTTCAAATTCATTTGCAAATACTGATTCCTAAATATCAGCAAAAGAAAAAAAAAATCATTTTTCTTTAACTTATACTATTTATCATCATTTTTAAAACCTTTTTGTTTTGAAATGTAATTAAAAATAATTTTGGTAAAAATATAAATTATTCAGAAAGTTATGAAAATAAAATCACACAAGATTCAGACACTTTGAATAAACAATTCATATATAATAAAAACGTGAAAATAACAGCAAGTTCAATATTTTGCCAGATATCCTTTGACTAAGATTAACACTTTTCTTGCAGTTTCCCCAACTAATTTTTTCATGTAAAAATATTTCATTTTATTCCATTTCTCCATTAGAGGCCAACTAATTTTTTTATGAAAGAATATTCTATGTTGTTCCATTCCTCCATAAAAATTACCTTTATTAAAGCATCTGAAAAAAATACCATGTTTCCTTATCCAGTAATTTCATTCAAGCAATTTCCATTGTTTTATAACATCAAATACAATTGAATGCTTTACATCGAGGAATTTTGGGGCATTTTGAATACTTTTAACTTCTTTAAAAAGACCAATACTTCAATTTCTAACAAAATTTGTCATTTATTGTCAGGTCCAGACTCAGTGCATTTTTAAAAATTCAATGTAACTTCCATCATTTTATCATCAATAATAACTGAATGCTTTAAATCAAAAATTTTTTTAGATATCTTGAATACTTTTACCATCTTTAAAAAGACAAATTATTAAATTTCTAACAGATCTACTCACCAACGTTACTGAACTATTAACTGAATGCAGACGATAATTCGGATGATTATCGAAATATACCAACAAAATTTTCGAATGTCCGAATTATTATTAGTTACTGAACAATACTTTTGGAAAAAGCTATGTTAGTACAAGGAATATTTTTAAGGCATTATTTTGCAATAAGGCTTAAAAGAGACAATAAATAATATATCAGAAAAAAATCTGAATTCTATCATTCAATATTTAGTAGGTCTATACAAATAAATTCCTACAAAGTGCCTGAAAACAAAAGTGAGCCACTGTATGTAACTCGCAGACGAAAGTAAGCCAACATTTTTCATAATGAATCGATTAAATTTTAATACTTAAAAGTATTTCTTCGTTCAAAAATTAAATCTGTGTTTCAGTACTTAATGCACGACGTATGCAAAATGCAAGTGTCCGAAACAAATGTGAGCCATGGTAACTGTTAAAGAAAGATTATAAAAAATAATTAATAACAATGTTTCCCATTTAAATAAAAATATATGATAAGTTTGATTTTTTAATGCATTTTCTCTTATTTCCTTCAATAATGAAGTCCTTGTTAATGCATAATGATGTTAAAAGTAAACAAAAATTACAACGCAGTGTAAGGAAATCTTACTTCCAAGAATGCTAAACACATCTCATAGAGCTCCCATGTGGTCTCAGGAGAAATATCAGATGCATCGACTGTGCTCATTTTGGCGATAAAAAAATTATTAAATTTCAGTTATGAAAAGATTTAGTTCTATGCAAATTCAAGTCTTAATTCATGCGCTTCGAAACTTAAGCATTTCGAATAATATACTCTTAATTAAACTACACTATTCAAATCAAACTACCACTTTACCGCCACTCCTACAAATCAGAAGGGATGGACAATGAATGTCGCATAATTGTTCTTCTTCGGCTTTGGCAAAGAATTTAAGAATTCCTTAACAGCTTTTTTATTTTGGTTAGGCTGACGTCTAAAAATATTTCAGTCTTAAAATTTAAATTTTAAGACGTGGAGCCAGCATGTTCGTATAAATTAATTCATTGTAAATACGGTACACTCCGGATTAGCCGCGGAATTGCGTGGGGCGGCAAGGTTCGGAGAACAGCCTTGGTTGCGCCAACTTGGCTCCTTTAAAGATATGGGCGACATTTCATTATGCCAACGGAAGTAAATATTATGTGGGGAATAGGTGCTAGGGAGAAAAGGAAAATATATGGGGAAAAACGGGATTAAGATGTGTTTATATTTGTTTGGTATCTGCTAATTTTGTTCTGTTATGTTGCTAAATTAGCATTAAAAGCCGAGTAATGTGCGTCTATTGCGAAAACGCAGGGCAATTACTTTTCGATCCGATTTAATATATGCATTAATATATCACATTCCTGCTCATATGATCTACATATGTATCAGATAACTAGCTACTTTTGACACTTATTTCTGGATGTGTATTATTTTACAACTTTTTCTGCTTTGAAAACCCAAGTATTGAAAATTATGTGTAGGCTTGTGAAAATATTATTTCAGATATTCTCGTATAACTATACTATAATCTCATATTATTCAGTTCTCATATAACTACGATAGAAATATGCTTCTATTATTTACTTTAAAAATGCAGTATTTGATAGCTTTCCACATAGTAGCCATTCTAGAATTAGTTCTGTAATATTATATAATGTTAATTGTCTTATGCATTATTTTGTCTAAATATTAATTTTCATAAAGAATGTATAATCAATGTAGAGAATGCGAGTTCAATACATTTTAAAGACAGAGATAATAAACAAAAAATAAAAGGGAGACTACACATGCAACCAGATAAAACTGACCATATTCTAAAGAAAGTTAATAAACTCAAAATGATGTGAAAGTATAGCCCATGCCATAAAATTCACTTAAGTATTATTTCTGAGTGGTAAAGCAGAACATATATATCTGAGTGCATTTTTTATATCTAAAATAAAATCTGTTATTAGTTGCTGATGAAAAAGTAAGAAAACAATTTTTATGGATAGAAATTTATGTAGCTGAGTATTGAAAGTCTGATACTTCATCAACACTGAAATAGCAATTTATATATTCTATGAAAGTGAAAAAAAAAATAAGTGTTGTTTTTTTAAAACTTCAAAAATCCGAATAATTTTCAGAACATGTTCTTTAAACAAATTAAGAATATACTGTTTCTTAGAAGTTATTTTTTTATAATTATATGCCGTATACTTTATGTACAGATAAAGCATGGCCAAACTGAGAACTGGAATTCACAATTTACTCACGTAATAAGCAACTCACATTGTTTTGCTTTTGAAACATAATTGTCATTTGAAACAGAATTGTGTTTTAATAATTACTAATTTTTAATTTTTTGAAATCACAATTGTGTGTATAATAATTTCAAACTATGCCTTATTTGCTAATCTCTGATAAGTAAAAACAAAAGTCAAACAGTGCCATATCTGTAACTACCATGTTGATATTACTCTTGAAATGTGTAGTGGTCATCAGCGTAGAAGAAAAGGTAAATGTTTTTATCCTGGTAGCACCTGCATTCATAATGTACCTCAAATCGTACTGAATGCCCTATAAATATCTGTACTGTGATTTGCATTAGGAAATACAAAACATATCTAATGATCCAAATTTCCAACGAATTAGTTGTTATGTGATGCAGTAGTGAGGTTTGATTCCTATATTGATCCTGAAGTAGGCTGAAGGCCCATGCAATAGCAAAAAACTAACTATACTTTTCTATAACCCCAATAGTTTGACAGCTTGCAGTCTCATTCCCCTCGTTTTTTTCCATGCTTTTTACCATTCCAGACTCAAGTAAAAATCCATAGTTGTGTATTTTTAAATTACTGCTTAATTTTTACATTATTGTAAACAGCAGTATGTCGCTTCTCTTATTTTCAGTTTACTGCTATTAAAATCTGTTTTTAATTATAACCGAAAAATAAAAATTGAAAATTTGAAGGAAAAGCTTTATTTATTAGCTATAAAAAGTAAAGTATAGAAAAGTTTACAATTCGTACATCCAAGGAATATGCTTCCTTGGATACTGAGCAAAAGCAGTAACAGTTATTTTGGTACTGTTCTATTATCAAGGGACTGGATTCAGAATTGTATGAACAAGTGTTGGTATGTATGTGCTTATATATGTATTTGTATGCTCACATATATTTGTACTTATGCATACATAAACGCATACATACATTTCTGAACTCGATCCCGATATTTCTTTATTCGTGTAAGTAAGCATTATTGTTGAAATAAGAAACCCTTGGCAATTTACTTAAAATATTTCTTTTTTATTGAAAAGCTTTGCTAATTTTGAAACATGATAAACACCTAATTGTGTTTCTTGAATATTTCTGAATTGTAACATGCAGTTCTTACTGACATGATGTCTGATGACTTTGAAACAGAATTAGCTAATACAGGAATATAACTGCCTATGCAAATATTCTTAAATCTTTGTGAAACTTGCCCAGTCTTTATGAACCAACATGTGCAAAAGATCATTAAACACCAAACAGGTGGTTTCTGGAGTTGGTTGCATAGTATGATTTTTACTGTTTTCAACTCTTTCTTAATTTTTAGTATCTACTCAACATTTTGTGAACTTATAAGTTCTGTGCAATAAAACATTTGTGAATTTATTTTTCTTTTTAGTCAAACTAAAGTTGTAACCTGGAAAATGATAATACAGTGAAATTATAACACAGGTTTTGAGAACATAAATGTTACAGTAGCATGACTAATCTGAGAATACAAAGGAAGTACAGTACTTTATGGCCTTCCCTTTCACAAAAAAAAAAAAAAAAAAAAAAAAACCCACCACAAAAATACTTCCTACGTACACATTTTAGATGAATATTTATGATGGTAATGTGTTTTTGAATGAAGATTAAAAGGATATTACTTTGATTCATCAATTATAAAAGTATCTGAAAGGCATGGCTTTAATTATAATAAATACTATAACATAGATGTATTAAAAATAATAAAACAACCTATTCTGCCCCATGCATCTCTTTCGCCATTGCTAGAAAATCCTTCCCCCTTCTCCAACTCTTGAAAAATGCATATACATTTATTTAGATTCAGACTATGTTTCAACTTGTTTTATAAATTAAACAACAAAAGTGTAGAAATGTTGATAAGTGCCAAAACTTGAACAAAAAGTAGATTTTGATATTCATGAACTAAAACTAAATACTTAACATATAAATAAAAGGCTGACCATGTTCTTCCCCTGAAGCCCCCTTGGTTGAAAATCCCTGTTGTAGAAGATATATCAAATAGGAGAGGAGAGGAAAGAAATTTTTTTAAAAAGTAACATATTTTTCAAATCAAGTTGAATGTTTACCTCACAAAAGCATTCAAGGATGGCTGCTATGAAATATATACCTGGCTAAAGGGTTTTTTCTAAGGATTATTAATATGTATGTATGTTAATTTTTTCACCACTGGGAAGTGAATGTTTTATCAAGTGAAGTATATTTTGAAAAATATTTTAGCTAATGGAGATCAATTTCATAAAATATTTAGAAAGTTTCAATTAGGCATTAGCAGTTGTTACCTGTTATATAGAGTGATGAAATTATATTACTGGATATTCAGTAATGATTATTAACTTGTTTAATTATGAGTACACATTCAGTGTATGTGACACCATAAATACTGGATCAAAGTATCACTAATAACAATCATGGTAATACAGTAAATTTTAACTTCTCTTGAAATCAGTAATCTATATTTGTAACATGTAATACATTGTAGCATTTAATGGTGTTAAAATTAACCAGCTCTATTTTCTAAGTATAATGATGTTGGTACTGTTAATAAAGGACTCGATTTAAAAATATTGGAGGCCATCTGATGTTTTGAATGTGGCAGATGTCACTAATGCATGTTAATGATATTATTCATGTAAATAATGTACAGTACATTTGCATATAAAGTATTTTGTGAAATAGCCTTATATTATTTAACAATTTTAATTTGTTGTTATTTAAAGAAAAAAATATGTCACCTTTTTGAATGTTTTGTTTTTATGGTTTCAGTTTATTATCTACTGTATTAAATATAAACTTACACATTTTTAACACAGTTTTTTTTTTTTTTTTTTTTTTTTTTTTTTAATCTGAAAGAAACAGAAAATGTGAAGTACTTTAAAATACATACTGAATTTGTGCTAAACTTTTATCAAGTTACAGATATGTGACAGTTTAATGCAATTAAATTGTTTATCAATTCAACAATGAAGTCTATGAATAAAATATAAAATTAAAAAATTTTTTTTTTTCAACTGTGAAAGAAATAATTTTGTCTAATGAATCTTCCTTTGGTATTTATATATTAAAACCATCTTAAAAATTAATTTTGAATTGTTTAAGAAATCATGTTATTTTGCTTTTCATAATTTATTATATAAAAGTTTAAATGAATAAGATGGCAGTTCTTTTTATATTTTATATCTCTATAATTAAATCATCAATTAAAATTTTTAAAAAATGCTTAAGTAAGTAGAATATTTTAACAAAAATGGTCAGTTGAAAAAGGGACATTGATATAGTTTTGATTAGTCTTTATTCAAAAATATCACTGCCCTGCAAGAGTACGAGATAAAAATACAATTCTGATAAAAAGCTGAAATACAAATTTTGACATTTCATACCTACTTCTTGTAGTTTTTCTAAGTAGCCCACCAGCGACCAAGTGAATAAGAAAGCTGAATATTGTTAGTTGACTCATGTTCAAATCCCAATGAGCAGGCTG